ACGGCGGCAGATTGCATGTGATGTTGTCACTTTGACAGGCCATTAAATGTCAAATTAAATAATTTTCTTTTTTTTTTAACGATTTTGATTAATTTCCATGTAAACATTTGTCTGGAGGGGGTTACAGCTACAGCAACAACAACACCAAAAACATGGTGCGATGAAAGTCAGGGGAGGCAGGAATCAAAATTTGTTAATCGGTGATCATTTATTCGCCTGAATAACACCTCGGGTTACACGGTCTAAAATATTCAGGGCCATGGTTTGGGAGACATTTTCTAAGGCCACCGAGCATTTTAAAAACAAAAAATATTTTTGCGACAATTTTTTAAAAATATTTCGAGGTTGACAATTTAAAAAAAAATATTAATATACATATTTTTATATATTTTTTAAAAATATTTTGAAGTCGGAAAATTTAAAAAAAAATATTTTTTGAATAAAAAAATATTCTGAGATCGAGAAATTAAAAAATACATATTTTTTAAGCAATGTGTAGGCTCTAAGGCTCTTTGAGTACCCTCCACCATTTAGAACGAATTTGAAATTTTACAAAAAAAATAAAATAAAATAAAATAAAAAAATAAATAAATAAATAAAAATAAAAAATAAAATAAAAAATAAATAAATAAAAAAATAAAATAAAAATAAATAAATAAAAATAAAAAACAAATAAATAAAAACCGCGAATAAGAAAGCCAAGTAAGGCGGGAATCGAAATTGATTTGGGAGAAATTTCTAAGGCCACTATACATTTTTGATAAAAATATTTTTTAAGGAAATTTAAAAAAAAAAAATTTAAGGTTGGAAAATTAAAAAAAATATATATATTCTGAAATCGAGAAATAAAAAAAATACATATTTTTAAGCAGAGTGTTAGCTCTAAGACTCTTTGAATACCCTCCACCATTTAGAACGAATTTGAAAATTCCCAAAACAAATAAATAAATGAAATCCGTAAAAAATTGTCTGGGGTTGTGAGGTCTTACAGCAAGGGACATTTCTAAGGACACTGTACAATTTTGATAAAAAATATTTGCCAAGGAAATTTTTAAAAATATTTTGAAGTTGAAAAATTAAAAAAAAATATTTTTTGAAAAAATTATTTTTGAGGGAATTTAAAAAGAACAAAAAAAAAAATTGTCTGGGTGTGGTGGTGTGAGGTCTTACAGCAACGACAACAACATTACCAGCAACACTACAAATAAGAAAGCCAAGACAATTTTTCAGTCAGTCGATACAATTTTTGGGCAAATTTCGAGTCTCTGGACAATTTTTTAATTTTTTTATAAAATATCTGAAATTGTAGATTTTTTAATTTTTTCTACAATTTGTGGATTTCATAAATACTTTTCAACTATTTTTTTTTTCAAAATTCATTTCAGAGACCTTCGATATTTTTAGTCCTCTCGAGTCCTTTGAAAAATCCACTTCCCTCAATTGTTCCTAAAATTGTTCTTAATAAAATCCTCGGCTCTTTATTGTTCTAAATAAATATTCTTAAAACTTTCGAAGAAATTCATGGCTAAATATTTTTTTGTATGATAGATTCTACAGATTGAGTTTTAATTTATTATTCTTCGCAATGATGTGGTCATGATTGCAGAAATCGCCGGTTATGTTGCTATTAAATGTTCCCAAATATATATGTTGCTATGAATTGTTCCGAAACATTTTCGTTTATGTTATTATGACTTATTTCTAAAAGTGCAAAACTATGAAATAGTTCTTAAAAACCAAATGTATTAAAAAAGGATGGTTTTAAAAAATTTTAAGATGAGAAAAAATTTAAATTTTTTGGATTTTCTTTCCTTTCAAAAAGACGTTTATGGGATATAAGTTCTTTTAAAAAAATCCGTTCTTATGTGGTCTTAGGACTTTGAAAAAAAATCTTAAAAAAACACTGATTTGGTCTTAGGTCTTTGAAAAAAAATCTTAAAAAATCCATGTTTATGTGATCTAAGGTCTTTGAAAAAAATCTTTAAAAATTCACGCTTATGTGATCTAAGATCTTTGAAAATAAATTCTTTAAAAATCCACGCTTATGTGATCCAAGATATTTGAAAAGATTCTAAGATATTTGAAAAGATTCTTTAAAAAATCCACGATTATGTGATCTAAGGTCTTCGAAGAAAATCTTTAAAAAATCCACGCTTATGTGATCTAAGGTCTTTGAAAAAAATCTTTAAAAAGCTACGGTTATGTGGTCTTAGGTCTTTGAAAAAAATTCTTTAAAAAATCCATGCTGATGTGATCCACGCTTATGTGATCTAAGGTCTTTGAAAAAAAAATTCTTTAAAAAGTCCACGGTTATGTGGTCTAAGGTCTTTGAAAACAATTTTTTAAAAAATCTACGCTTATTGCTAGACAATAAAAGTCATGTTAGAATGAGCTTTTCCTAAACATTATCGCTTATGTTGCCATGAATGTGCGGCATCAAAAATTTGCATTTTTTCACCTACGTCTTATTTGGAAAATATTCTAAAGAAATTCACGGCTATATATTACTTGTCGAAATATTTTCCTTGAATATTAAAACTTTTAAAAAAATAATATTTATAGATGTGTTTTTAATTTTTGGTTCCAGGAACGCAACAATGTTGCCATGAATTGTTGATAGAAATCGAAAGATATGCTGCCATAAAATTTTCCCAAATATTTCCGATATTTTGCTGGAAAGCCAAAGTGATGTTGCAAGGAATTGTTCCCACACATTTTGAATGAATGTTCCTAAAAATTAATAACTATGAAAATAGTTCTTAAAAATAATTTAGAAAATGTGTGGCATCAGAATAAATTGTTCTCACAATAAATTGTTCGTAGAAATATTTTCCTTGAGATTTTTAAAAAAATAATTTTTATAGATTTGCTATTAAGTTTTTTAAAGTTCCGGGAACGCAACAATGTTGTCATGAATTGTTGCTAGAAATCGAAGTTTATGTTGCCATGAAATGTTCCCAAATATTTATGATATGTTGCTGGAAAGCCAAAGTCATATTGTTAACAATTGTTTCTAAACATATTCGCTTATGTTGCTATGAATTGTTCCTAAATGTGCGTAACTTTGAAAATAGTTCTTAAAAATAATTTAGAAAATGTATTGCCTCAGAATATTGGTTTTAATATTTTGATAAACGGAAGGTTTCACAAATTTTTTCTATAGAAAATTTAATTCTTATCTCTCTCTCTCTCTCTCTCTTATACCTATGAATTATTCTGAAAATATTCTAAGAAATTCATATCTATACATATTCGGCGAAATATTTTCCTAGAGTATTAAATTTTTTTACGGTTCCGTTAATGCGACAATGTTGCCATACATTTTTGCTAAAAATCGAAGTTTATCTTGCCTTGAAATGTTTCCAATTATTGCCGATATGTTGCCATAAAGCAAGAGTCATGTTGCTAATAATTGTTTCTAAATATTTTCACTTATGTTGCTATGAATTGTTCTTAAATATTATGAAACGAGTTCTAAAAAAATAATTTTGAAAATGTGTGTCCTCAAAATATTTGTTTTAATATTTTCGGAAATGGAAGGTTCTAGAATTTTTTTTTATCGAAACAAATCTTGAACTTTTCTACTCTCACCTACCAATTATTCTTAAAATATTAGAGGAAATTCATGGCTACATTTTTTATTTAAAAATTATTTTTTTATATTTGTTTTTCAATTTTTTTGTGGTTCCAGGAAAGCAACTATGTTGAGATAAGTGGTTGCTAGAAATCGAAGTTTATGTTGCCATGAAATGTTTTTAAATATTGCCGATATGTTACCACAAAACAAAATTCATGTTGCTAACAATTGTTTCTAAACATTTTCGCTTATGTTGCCATTAATTTTTCCAAAACATTATGAAACGAGTTTTTAAAAAATAATTTTGAAATTGTGTGGCCTCAAAATATTTGTTTTAAAAATTTCAGAAATGGAAGGTTTTAGAAATTTGCTATTAAAACAAAACTTGAACTTTTCTACTCTCTTCTACGAATTATTCTGAAAATATTCTAAGAAATTTACGGCTATAAATGAAAACTATTTAAAAATTAATTTTTATAGATTTATTTTTCAATTTTTTGTGGTTCCAGGAAAGCAACAATGTTGAGATAAGTTGTTGCTAGAAATCGAAGTTTATGTTGCCATGAAATGTTTCCAAATATTTCCGATATGTTGCCATAAACCAAAAGTCATGTTGCTATCAATTGTTTCTAAATATTTTCACTTATGTTGCTATGAATTGTTCATAAATATTATAAAACGAGTTCTTAAAATTAGAATTTATTTGTTTTTGGAATTTCATTAATATTTTGAAAAATCTGAGGTTTTAGAAATATTTTTACAAACAATTTGAAAATTATCCGGCTATGAATTGTTTTTTTCAAAATTTACTTAAAAATATTTGGTTAAAAAAACTTCCTTAAAAATTCAGGCCATGAAATTTTAGTAGAAATATTTTTCTTGGTTATTGTAATTATTTCAAAATTAAATTTTTATAGATTTTTTAATATTTTTAAAAGTTAAATAATTTATTTAATCTGAGGTTTTAAAAAAATATTCTCAAAAAGAATTTGAAAATTCTCCGGCTATGAAATGCTTTTGAAATATTTCCTTAAAAAATATGTGGCTTTGAAGTAGTTTTAAAAAAAATTCCTAAAAATGTTCAACCATAAAATGTTAGTGGAAATATATTTTTGACTACTGAAATTATCTCAAAATCCAATTTTTACTGACTTATTTTTAGTTTTCTCAAAAGAAGTTAGATATTTTTTTTTTTTAATCTGAGGTCTTAGAAATATTCTCACAAAGAATTTCAAAATTCTCCGGCTATGAATTGTTTTTTTTAAATTCCTTGAAAAAATATTTGGTTATGAAATAATTAAAAAAAAAATCCCAAAAATTCGCGGCTATAAAATGGCAGAAGAAATATTTTTTTTCAATATTGAAATTATTTCAAAATTTTTATAGATTTTTTTTTAATTTTCCAAAAAGAGGGTAAATAATCGGAAATCAGTTGCAAAATATGTCTTTCTAAAAACCAAGACTTTTTTTAAAAAAAAAATTATTAAAATTATAACTCAACGGAAAATATTAAAAAATTTGAAAACTGCGGAAAAAATGTGGAAATTTTGGATCTTCGTAGTATTGGTAAGTAATTGAGGGTTTGTCTTTATTAGTAGAATAGCTCAAATATCACTCCAAATAAACACTTGAATAATTTGTAATATTTTCTTTCAGGCGGTCCACTCTGCCACGGGAGCCATACGACCATCGACCACCAAAGATAGCCAGGAGCGTTGCGGTTCGGTGCTCTGCCAGCGAGTCAATGAGATTTTTACCCAAGCGAAATTGACTCATGGCTATAATTACATAACCACAATCCCAGCTGGAGCCATGAATTTGACCATCAAAGAAATGGCTAAAAGTAATAACTTAATAGGTAAGTAATTGAGAAAAAAAAGAAGCAGTGAGGTAATGACTTCCGTAATTGATGACTTTTTTGTTTATAGCTCTGAAAACCAAAGATGATAAGTACATTGTAAATGGCTACAATCGTGCCTCGGAGGGTGGCTTCTTCGAGTACAACGATGACATTTTCGATTACAACAAGGAGGCCAGCATGGTCAAGGCCCGGGGTCCCTTGAATAACCCCATTGTTTTAATGGTGGGTAGGAAAAATTGTCAGATTTTTTTTTGATTAAAGTTTTCTTATTTTTCCAGCTTTGGGTGAACGATTTAAATCCCGGTGTCCAATATTCCTATGCCCTGCCCGTACCCTCGGCCTCCATATCGGAAGCCGAAGAGCTGCAAAGTCAATGGAATGAATTGGGCCAGCCGCTGGATGAAATCGACGAGACCCCGCTAAGAGAAAATTCCCTCGCCAAACCGCGGGAGAAACGTAAGCGTAAATATGCCTGGGAGTTGTTGGGTTTTGGCCCCTGCAGTCGTACCTGTGGCCCTGGCAAGCAATCGCCCATTTTCCGTTGTACCCGAGAATCGGAGAGTAAGGAGACAGTGAAACGTTACTATTCCCCGAAACGTTGTGCCAACATTGAGAAGGAAACCTTTTTGCCCACAATTTATATGTGTAGTCATGGCCTGTGCCCGGCCTACTGGAAGAAGGGCGAGTTCGGGGATTGTCAGTGTTCGAATGGCTCGGTAGATGGATTTAGGTCCAGAGAGGTTCTGTGCTATCAGGAAAATATCAATGCCACACATGTCCCAGTGGATGAGGGTAAATGTAAAGAGGCCAAACCGGAGACCAAGGAGAGGTGCCACTGCAAAAAGGTCAAGCTCTACAGCAGGAATGTGGAAAAGGCCAGTCAGCTGTATCAGAGATTTATTGGCAACTCGAACTCCCTTAAGACCGTTATGAGTAAGATCTAATATCTAAATTAAATTCTCCTGCTTTACCTCATCCATCTTTGCTCTCTCTCTCGTTTCTTCCAGGCAAACGCCATACAAATGCCAACAGCTCGAATCAAACCTCCCTGAAACGCTACAATCGCGAGGAAAAGGCCGGTGTTTGGTTAATGTCCGAATGGAATCAACAATGCTCGAAGGATTGCCTGTATAACTATGAGCATCGCACGACATATTGTGATCGTACCGCCCCCTATGTAGATCCCTGCGATCCAAGTCTGCAGCCAGAAAGTCGTAGATCTTGTACGAGTCGGGGGCAATCGTGTCGTCGTGGCATGTGGTTTGCTTCGGATTGGAGTAAATGTTCGGGAGATTGCCAAAATCGTCGACGCACCCGTATGGTGTTGTGCGTCATGGACGGCTATGTGGTGGACAAGAAGCAGTGCGATCCCAAATCGAAGCCCGTGGAGATGGCAGTGTGTGCCACCAAGGATTCGGCCTTCTGTGGTCCCAAATGGCACTATTCCGAGTGGTCTGAGGTAAGAGAAGGGGAGAAATAAGCACGATTTTGGAATGTTCCTAAAAATAAAAATTAAAATATTGATATTTATGAACATTGTTCCTAAAAAAATGTGAGAATTTGAAATGTTCCTGAAAATAGTAACATTTTAGGAACAATTCAGAGATGTGTATATTTATTAAGAACAATTTTAGGAACAGTTGAGAGACGTGAACTATTTTAAGAAAAATTTTAGGAACAATTGAGAGACGTGGATTTTTTTAAAAACAATTTTAGGAACAATTGAGAGACGTGGATTTTATTAAGAACAATTTTAGGAACAATTGAGAGACGTGAATTATTTTAAGAACAATTTTAGGAACAATTGAGAGACGTGGATTATTTTAAGAACAATTTTAGGAACAATTGAGAGACGTGAATTATTTTAAGAACGATTTTAGGAACAATTGAGAGACGTGGATTATTTTAAGAACAATTTTAGGAACAATTGAAAGAGGTGGATTTTATTAAGAACAATTGAGAGACGTGTATTTTATTAAGAACAATTTTAGGAAGAATTGAGCCACGTGGATTTTATTAAAAACAATTTTAGAAACAATTGAGAGACGTGGATGTTATTAAGAACAATTTTAGGAAAAATTGAGAGACGTGGATTTTATTAAGAACAATTTTAGGAACAATTGAGAGACGTGGATTTTATTAAGAACAATTTTAGGAACAATTGAGAGACGTGAATTATTTTAAGAATAATTTTAGGAACAATTGAGAGACGTAAATTATTTTGAGAATAATTTTGGGAACATTTGAGAAAAGTGAATTATTTTAAGAATAATTTTAGGAACAATTGAGAGATGTGAATTATTTTAAGAATAATTTTAGGAAAAATTGAGAGACGTGAATTATTTTAAGAATAATTTTAGGAACAATTGAGAGACATGGATTATTTTAAGAACAATTTTAGGAACACTTGAGAGACGTGGATTATTTTAAGAACAATTTTAGGAACACTTGAGAGACGTGGATTATTTTAAGAACAATTTTAGGAACAATTGAGAGACATGGATTTTTTAACGAACCATTTTAGGAACAATTGGGAGACGTGGATTTTTTTAAAAACAATTTTGGGAACATCATTGAGAGGTGGATTTTTTTAAAACAATTTTAGGAACATCTGAGACACGTGGATTATTTTTTTAAACAATTTTAGGAACTTCTGTTACACGTGGATTTTCTTAAAAACAATTTTAGGAACATCTGAGACACGTGGATTTTTTTTAAAAAACAATTTTAGGAACATCTGAGAGACGTGGATTTTTTTTAAAAACAATTTTAGGAAAATCTGAGGGACATGGATTTTTTTAAAAACAATTTTAGGAACAATTGAGAGAAGTGAATTATTTTCAGAATAATTTTAGGAACAACTGAGAGAAGTGAATTATTTTAAGAATAATTTTAGGAACAATTGAGAGACGTGAATTATTTTAAGAATAATTTTAGGAACAATTGAGAGACGTGAATTATTTTAAGAATAATTTTAGGAACAATTGAGAGACGTGGTTTTTATTAAGAACGATTTTAGGAACAATTGAGAGACATGGATTATTTTAAGAACAATTTTAGCAACAATTGAGAGACGTGGATTATTTTAAGAACAATTTTAGCAACAATTGAGAGACGTGGATTATTTTAAGAACAATTTTAGGAACAATTGAGAGACGTGGATTTTACAAAAGAACAATTTTAGGAACAATTGAGAGACGTGGATTTTATTAAAACAATTTTAGGAACAATTGAGAGACGTGGATTTTACAAAAGAACAATTTTAGGAACAATTGAGAGACGTGGATTTTATTAAAACAATTTTAGGAACAATTGAGAGATGTGGATTATTTTAAGAACAATTTTAGGAATAATTGAGAGACGTGGATTATTTTAAGAACAATTTTAGGAACAATTGAGAGACGTGGATTATTTTAAGAACAATTTTAGGAACAATTGAGAGACGTGGATTATTTTAAGAACAATTTTAGGAACAATTGAGAGACGTGGATTTTATTAAGAATAATTTTAGGAACAATTGAGATGAGAAATTTTTTCTTAGAAATATTCCTAAAAATTCCTATTTCTATGAAATTTTTTCTTAGGAATATTCCTAAAAATTCCTATTTCTATGAAATTTGTTCCTAAAAATTAATTTCTGTGATTTTTATTTCTAAAATATAAAATTATTTTCTTTTTTTATTTCCCCTTCCAGTGCTCCCGCACCTGTGGCGATGGCGTCCAGCGTCGCTATGCCAAGTGTCTGGAATACGATTACAAACTGAAAGAAATGACCGAATCGAACAAATGTAAATTTCTCGAACGCGAACCCGTCTATGGCACCTGTAATCTGGGCAATTGCGAAGGTAAAGAAATGTCTTCCATTAAAGTAAGCCATGTATGGCGGTACCTAATAATGCTTGTGATTTTCTTCTTGATTTGTACGTGGTTTTGGCAATTATTACAGAACTGAGAGCGGCGGCTGCTGGCGGCGGCAGAGTCATTGACGACAATGCCCTGACAGTCTATCAGAGGAGGGTTGGTGCTGGTGTTGGTGGCAGAGCTAGTGGTGGTGTGGTGGCGGAATACGATGATTATGATGATGAAGGTAATATTGGTGCTGTTGCTGTGGCTGCTGAGCCCATCAGCGTTGAAGAAGACGATGACGACGACGTGGAAGAAAGTTACCAAGATTTATCAAGTGGCAACGAGAAATTAGTGATAGCTTCGGCGCCAAAAGTATTGCAGAATTGTCGTGAGGAATTGAATAATTGTAAGCGTATCAATCGTGAGCGTTTGTGCAAAGTTGATTATTATAAGAAAAATTGTTGTCTAACGTGCCATGGATTTTATTGAGGGCGGATGGATAAAAATGTAAAATTTGGGGAAAATCAAGAGAGAGAGAGAGAGAGAGAGAGGAAGGGGGAGGAGAATATTGTGAGAGAAGTTTGAAGAAAAAGGGTCATAATTATGAAAAGAAATAGGGGGTGAGTTTCAGATACTTGAAAGGAGAAACCCATTAAAAAATATTCATTTAAGAAAAAAAATCTTTCAAAAATTTTTAAAAAAATATTTTTTTTTTTAATTTTTAAAAAACAAAAATCTTTTATGGTCCTCAAAAATAGTTTTTTTATAACAATCCAATTTTTTTAAAAACAAAAATACTTCAGAAAATTTTATTGAAACCCTTTAATTTTTTTTATAAAAATCTACGCAAATATCTTCAGATACATCCACATTAAATAAAACATATTTAAAACACAAAAATCTTTCAAAAAATTTTAAAAATCCACAGAAATATTCTTTTATAAATTTTATAAAAAAAGGACCTGCAGAGAATTTTGTGGCCCCCAAAATTTTTTTTAGATAACAATCCAAATTATTTTAAAAACAAAAATACTTCAAAAATTTTATTGAAACCCTTTTTTTATAAAAATTTGCCGTCGATTTCATCCCGATATCTTCAGATCCATCCCATTTAAAAAAGTATATATTTATAAAAACAAAAATTTTTCAACAAATTTTAAAAATATTTTGTTTTATAATTTTTTAAAAACAAAAATCACTCAGAGAATTTTGTGGTCCTCAAAAAAATTTTTTTGTAACAATCCCAATTTTTTTTAAAAAGAAAAAACGCTTCAAAAAAATTTATTGAATCCCTATATTTTTTATAAAAATCTACGACAATATCTTCAGATCCAACCCATTAAATAAAAAATATTAAAAAAAAAAAACAAAAATCGTTCAAAAAATTTTAAAAATCCACAGAAATATTCTTTTATAAATTTTTTTAAAAACAAAATAACTGCAGAGAATTTTGTGGTCCTCAAAAAAAAAAAAAAAAAAAAAAAAAAAAAAATTGTAACAATCCCAATGTTTTTAAAAACAAAAATACTTCAGAAAATTTTATTGAAACCCTTTATTTTTTTTATAAAAATCTAAGAAAATATCTTTAGATCCATACACACTGAAAAAAAAAATAAAAAACAAAAACATTTTGAGAAAATTTTTAAAGTCCACAGAAATATTTTTTTATAATTTTTTTTAACAAAATTCTTCAGAGAATCTTGTGGTCCTCAAAAATATTTTTTTGATAACAATCCAACATTTTTTTTAATAAAAAACCCTTCAGAAAATTTTCTAAATATCTTTAAAAATTTGTTTTTGAATAAACATTCAAAATTAGTTTAATTTTTTTATAAAAATCTACATGGCTCAATGAAATATTTTATAAAAAAATTTGATTCATATCCCTCAGAAAATGTTGTAAAATTTGTAAATATCTTCAAAAAAAATTTTTTATAAAAAATCGTTGTAATAACCAAAAAAATGTATTAAAATCCTTTAAATAATTTTTATCTACTACCAGGCCCCTTGAAATATTTTATAAAGAAATTGACTCGAATCCCCCCAAAAATGTTATAAAAATCGACGGCTATGATTCCCAGAGTTTTTTTATAAGAAACTATTTTTTTAAACAAACATCCTTCAAAAAAATTTTAAATTTTCTCAACTTTTTGTAAATCCAAAATTTTTTTAAAAACCAGAAAATTTTATTAAAATTCTTAAATTTTTTTTTGTAAAAATCTCCTACTACGGTCCCTGAAATATTTTTTAAAAACATTTTATTAAAATTGTTTATAAAATGTTAAAAAAAAATTCACGGCTGTGGTTCACAGAAATAGTTTTTTTATACGAATCCAATTTTTTTAAACAAACGTCCTTCAGAAAATTTTGTAAATATCTTAAAAAATATTTTTTTTATAAAAATCCAAAAACTTTTTTTTTAAACCAGAAAATTTTACTAAAATCCTTTAAAGAATTTCATAAAAACATTGTATTAAAATTCTTTAGAAAATGTTGTAAAAATCCACGGCTATGGTTCCCAGAAATATTATTATTATTAATACGAATCAATTTTTAAAAACAAACATCCTTCAAAAAATTTTGTAAATATCCTCAAAAATATTTTTTTTATAAAAATCCAAAATTTTTTTTCAAACCAGAAAATTTTATTAAACTGCTTTAAATATATATTTTTTTATAAAAATCTCCTACTACGGTCTCCTGAAATATTTTATAAAAACATTTTATTAAAGTTCTTCAGAAAATTTTATAAAAAAATTCACGGCTATGAATCACGAACGTATTTTATAATTATAATTTTGGAATACGGGTGAGATAAAAAAAACTGCAACAAAGTCAAACGCCATAATTTTTAGTTTTTTTTAATTTCATAAAATGAAAGCAAAAAGTTGTCGGAAATAGCATCAAATTTTAGAATAAGTTTAGATTTGTTCGAATTGATCACCTTTGGCACGAATTATAGCCTTCAAACGACCAATGAATGAAACCGTCACACGCTGCCCGAATGTTGCTCTGCGGTATTTTGGCCCATTCCCGGCGAAGCGCTTGCTTGAAGTGATCGACACTTTGGTATTTTTTAGTGCCAACCTTGCTTTCCAAAATACTCCAAACACAATCGTCCAACGTGTCGGTTGGTATCCGGTGGCCACAGCCACTTGTGGTTTTCCAGCCAAATATAAAGAAATCACGCCTGAATTATCCATCGCGAATAACTTTTTTTCTGGAAAATTCTCACCAAAATGCTTTTGACCGCTTGTAAACAATATAATGAGCTGTCACTGAAATAATTTTAACAGCTGTCCGACGAGTGGCTTAGAAATGACAGCAGTCTGAAGTTGGTTGCAGTTTTTTTCATCTCCTTTAGGAAATTTTTATAAAAATTCTAAAAACTATTTATTTTTAATTTTTTAAATGATCTAATTTTCTTTTAAAACACTTTAAAAATTTAATTTAGAAAAAAAAAAAAAAAAATTCGTTTAATTTTATTCTCAGAAATATTTTTGAAATATTCCCTCTTACGACCGTTGGAAGTATCTTTGTTTGAATTTTATAATAATAAATAATAATAATTCTAAAAACTATTTTTTTAATTTTTTAAATAATCCAAAATTATTTCTAAAATCGTTTTGAAAATTTTATTAAAAAAAAAAATGTTTTTTAATTTTATTCTCAGAAATATTCTTGGAAAAATCACCTCTTACGACCCTTAGAAGTATCTTTGCTTGAATTTTATAAAAATTCTCTAAAATATATTTCTTTTAAATTTTTAAAGAATCCAAATTTGTTTTAAAATATTTTTAAAAATGTTGTTTCAAAAAAAAAATCTTTTCGTTTAATTTTATTCTGAAAAATATTTTTGGAAAAATACTGTATTACGACCCTTAGAAATATCTCTGTTTGAATTTTATAAAAATTCTAAAAAAAAATTGTTTAAATGTTTAAATTTTATTTCAAAAAAAAAAAAAAAAATGTTTTTTAATTTTATTCTTAGAAATATTTTTGGAAAATCCCCTCTTTAAAAACATTTTTTTTTCAGAATTTTTATATCTATGTTTGAATTTTATAAAAATTCTCAAAAGAAATGTTTTTATTTTATTTTAAATAATCAAATTATTTTAAATCCTTTTAAAAATTTTATTTCAAAAAAAAAAAAAAAAAAAAAAAAAAAAAAAAAAAAAAATGAAATATCCCATCTTACGACCCTTAGAAGTATCTTTGTTTGAATTTTATTAAAATTCTCAAAAAAAAATTTTAAATTTTTTTAAATAATCCATTTTCTAACTCTTTTTTTTTTTCAAAAAAAAAAAAAAAAAATAATTTTACTCTCTGAATTATTTTTCAAAAATATTTTTTTTTTAATTTTTTAAATAATTCATTTTTTTACAATACTTTTAAATATTTTATTAAAAAAATAATTAATTTTATTCTCAGAAATATTGTTGGAAAAATACTCTCTTACGACCCTTAGAAGCATCTTTGTTTCACTCGTGATTTCCTTTCTCTCAACTCAAATGTCTTTCTCTTCACAATTTTGTTTCTCTTGATTTTCTCTTGTTTTTGAGAGCTTAAGTATTTATTGAAATCATGTTATAAAAAATTTAAATAACTGAAAATTATTAATTTTTATTTAAGAAGAAAATAAAATCATTAACACATCCATAAATAAAATCTATGGCCACTCCTTGTTTATAACTTAGCGTTTAAGTCAAATTATTTTAATTATATTTTTTTCATAGAACATAACGATGCATAAATTATAAAAATAATTAATTTTTATAAAAAAACGTGTTTAATTTATATTTAAAACTAACAAATTATTAAAAAAATCGTATTAAAAAATTGAGTCATATTTATAAATGCCTAAAATAGTTTTAATATTTATAAAAATTTCAGATTTTTTTTTTTGCCAAAACTATAATTATAATTATTATTCGATATGAATGTATTTGTATATTGATGTTGTATTGTGTTGAAAAAATATTTTATTTTTTTTCAAATAAAAAAAAAATTATTATTGAAAATTAAAACGTTTGAAATTTAATTTTTTTTCAATTTTTTTAATGGGCCATTTGGGTGGTCTTAACCCAGTTATGCTGGGCGCTGGGCTTTGGTCCAAAAAAATATAAATAAAAAAAATTATGGCGCTTTGTGCAATTTAATAAAATTACTTTTAATTTCATTTCAAACCCGCCACGAAGCGAACGAACGAACAGCAGTTGCACTTTCCATTCGCAATAATCGATCAGTCGGTCGGTTGGTCAGTCAGTCCGTTCAGCTAAGCGAGCCATTCAATCAATTGCGGCAAATTCTGTTCACTCATAATTTTCAATGGGCTTTTAGGTCTTTTTTGAGCTGCATTTTTCGCTTTTCAGTTAATTTTCAATTTTTTCTCCTCCAGCCCCAAGTCCGCCGATATTCAATAATTGTTAATGCGTGTTAATTGTTTTTTTTAAGCTGTGTGCAGTATTCAGTGAATATTTTTAGAGGCTCTGCAATTGGTTATTAGATATCGATGAAATGAAATTGTTGGCCGACGGGCCAGGCGTTATCGATGACGCTATGCATTAATTGGTGATTATCGCTTGGTGTGGATGGATAGATGCATGTGTAAGCGCCATTCGGTTTGTTAAAAAAAGTTCAAATATTTAATCGTTTTATGCATTTGACCTTATCAGCGGAATATTG